AGTATACCGCCTTACATCCAAAGGTTATGGGTTCGATTCCTCGCACGGTACAAACTAGATTGCATTTCTAAAATACTATTATAAAAGTAATCATAATAGTAATTTCAGGACAATTCATACAGCGGCATCTAGACCCAACGACGAAAGCTAACGAAATCTTGATTTATGAGTACTAGATAACTGATACAATTATATAGATATATATTTTTTAACCAATAAATTCATATTATATATTGATAATAAACACCCAGACCGATACAAACAAACATATTCATGAATTTTTGTGCCGTGCGAGGAATCGAACCCGCGACCATCGGAAGTAAAACGGTGTGCTAAACCGCTAGACCACCGAGGCCGTCAATATTAAGGAAGCAGGATGTATATCACCCAATACTCGGTTCGACTAGGCGCTATTATGTAACAAGAAACTATTAAATACTATTTCAGTGCCACTGACTACGTTTATTGTCCATAAATCGTAATACTCAATGCTACGCTTAAGTGGGTTTCCTGCGGTTTCGCTAGTTTGTTTGCGAAGTGAATATAAAATGTAGTTTATTGTATAACTCGGTTTAGTTCGATGCAAACTGGAAGTTTTTATAATGAAAGCAACTGACCCAAGCCCACTATGTTGGGCGGTAAACATTTTTCTTGTCAGTTATCGACTAGGTACTGAGAGTTAAACATTTTTGAAGTACTAATATCGATTTTAAAATTTCAAAATAATCGAATTAAAATCATCGAAGGAGAATGCTTTAGCGATAAAAGCGTCACTCTTAAATCTAAAAAATATATATAACTTAAAGGTGACTGACATAGTGATCTATCAACGCACAGCGCAAACCACTGGACGGATCGGACTGAAATTTATCATGCAGGTAGATGTTATGACGTAGGCATCCGCTAAGAAAGGATTTTGATTAATTCTACCCCCAAGGGGATAAAATAGGGGATGAAAGTTTGTATGAAACTTTGTCAATTTTAAACCGATCGGACTGAGACTTTGCATGCATAAAGCTACTATGACATAGGCATCCCCTAAGAAAGGATTTTGAAAAATTCCACCCCTAACGGGATAAATTAACGCGAGCGAGGCCGCGGGCTAAAGTTAGTTTTAAATATATGAATGAAATTAATGGTAGAAGAGTGAAAGTTTAGGGTTATATCTAACATTTAGTGGCAAATAATAGAAATATTAAAGTAAAAAAATGTATAAAATATAAAAAAAAATTGGGTGAACCGCCAGTATCACCTAGTGGTATGAAAAATAATTTACGTATAGCTGTTTTCAGACCTACTGAATATACATGCAAAGTTTTATGTGAATCGGTCGATCCGGTGGAGTTTTGTTACAAATATTGTAACACGAAAATTTTATAAATTATAGTTATACTAGCTACTCGCCCCGGATTCGCCCGGGTGTAGATGTATTATATATATAAACCTTCTTCTAGAATCACTCTATCTATTTAAAAAAAACAGCTTCAAAATCAGTTGCATAGTTTTAAAGATTTAAGCACACAGGGACGGACAGACAGGGACAGGGACTATATTTTTATATATATATAATATTAACATTTGACTATATTTTATAATCAGAGACATTTTTATTATAAATATTTATTAAATCAATTTTTTAATATAACTTTTTTTTTTAATTAATGCACGCATTCTTTTTAACGTTTCAAATATAATTTTCAGTTATTTTTATATATTAAACAATGTTATATTTATAAATAATTATTTTATATACATGTTACTTTTATAAATAACAAAATTTTATTTCTCATATTTGTTACAGAAAGGAAGTCGCACCGAGTCATAATTTTCATATATATCAGATGAAAAAATCTAAATGCTTCCTGCATATCTGTAGATACGTAATTATTAGAGATATTTACATGTATGCTGATACGAAACTCCAATAAACTTATGTTATACACGGCTAATTAATACAATAATATTCGTCGACAGCTACTTATCGCGGGATATCCAGTTTCTAATTCGACGACGTCAAACTGCCCGTAACTTGACGACATGAATATTGTGACATGTCTAATTATTTCATATTAACGCTACAAGGCATAAGCGGTAGCGGGTGTTTAAAAACATTTGTATGTAAAATAAAAGAAAGAGAAATATAAATACTGATTACTAAATTATCACAATTTCATAGCAACCGACAACTGATTACATAAAATATAAAATAATATTATATAACATAGTACACGTAGATACAGCAAATTCCTAATGAAATGGTTTTCCAATAACATTCAACGTATCGTCATTTTAATTTTTATTCAAAATACTTCAACAACTCAATAATTTATACTTCGAAAGTAAAATTTAAATGTAAATAAAAGTCTAAAGTTATTATACTATATGTATATAGGTTTCATCGTTTTATCTATGGGCGAAAATGCAATAAAAAAATTATAGAACATTGTTGTAATATAATTTTGTAGTATAGTGAAAAAACTTTAACATTATATTACTACATACTAATATTTATGTATATTACTTTTGTTTTGCATTGTACAATTTCAATTTAGTAATTTTTGACTTTTTATTTTTTCTGCAGCAATTATTACCAACTCAATAGCCCTATGCCACTGTTTTGTACTGTCCACCTTTGCTCACATTATTTGTACAATATTTTATTACTGTACTATCTGTGCAATAATGAATATATATATAAAAGGATATCAAAACGCTTACGTTCATTGTTTGAGGCGCACCACATTTGGAGCTAGGATTAAATCTCGAATAGGTGACAGGCAGTCTAATCAACTTTCTCGAACCATTGCCTCCCCGTGGCACGTATGTGACGACGGGTTTAACGCCGATTAAACTGTCACAACCCGCCATTGTTGGATTCCTCGAGATCTCGACAGATTTGTGAAATTATTGTTGGCTTTCCGGCGAATAATTAGAAAACGTGCTCGCTAATGCTCGCTCTCGCTCGTTCCAATATGGAGTGTGACGTCACAGCGAAATTGTATGGACATATTATACTATCATATTTATAGTCATGTATATGAGAACGAGTGGTAGATCATATAGAATAGAATAAATGAAAATTAATAAATTTTGTAATTATTGAAATAAATTTCATTTAAGCACTTTCGAATTATCAGTATTCGATATACAGTTGTTCTTCTTTTAATCTACCGCTCATTCGGAAAACTGTCTTATCATAAGAAGAACGAGCAAGAAACTTGCGTGTTGCTCTTTATATGTAGGTTAATCCTAAGTTAATTTTATAAATTCGAAACTGTCTGTATGTCTGTTACATTAAAATTTGGAATGAATTTGTATTTTATCACGAGATATATATATGGACTATTTAAAAAAAATGTACCTGATTTATGGAGCAATTGAAACAAGTTCAATAACATAACGGTTTGTAATATATCCAGTACTAGCGATTCCGCAGCGCTGTTTTAGTATATTCGGGTAAAATTTATACTATGTCTTAAAGTAAGATGTAATCTATTCGTGTACCAAATTTGATCCGATTCAATGTAGTCCTTTCTAACGATCTATCCAACATGGAAACATTTAATCAATTCCGACCAGTTCGTGAGGTTAATGGTACGTTAAATCAAATCAAAACAAATCAAACAAACACTCGTAATATTCGTTAAAAATATTTTGTCTTGAGTCCCATCGGCTCAAAATGTTCAAAAAAGTCAAAATTGGCTCCCAACGTCTCGGCAAATGGCAAAAACAAATTGTCATTTAAAATGTTTAATATTGGAATCATCAATGCGAGCAATTAGCAAGGTCTGTCACTAGACTTCACTAATAGAAATTGATAGTACAACTATCTAACTTAATTCTAACTTTGAGATATCTCCTAATGAAGACAGATTGTTATTGCAAGATTTCTAGATATTGCCCATCTTGGAAGATTTGTGAAATAACTTCAAGGAGACGCTCTAATTTGATAAAAAGTCAATTAGCGATATTACTTAAATTGATGTAATAAATTTAAAACTTTATATAATTGTATTTATGGAACATCTTAGATATTAAAATTTGCAATCACTGATAGTTCAATGAACGCATTTATAGTAATAACTACCTATGTCACACGTTTTTGCCTGCGTAAAATGGAATAAAATTTATCAGATTATAGAAATTATAAAAGGGTTCTTAAATTTTTTGTAATGATTGCCGCATGCATCTTTATGTAAAGTGCGAATACTATAACTACCATATGGTAATTTTAAGTAGCTATGACGTGGTCGAATGGATTGAGTAGTCATGCTCACTAAAATGTCCTGACATGTGGCGGCGTGGTGTGCCAAGTCATTGGGCTCCTCCCTAAAATATGGTCGAGCGCAGTGATGGCTGGCTCATACATCATATTCGTGAACTCCTTGTAAGGATTGGTCTACTCTACTCACTATACTGATTTAATCTTATTGTGTATTTATATTTGACCCTAATAAATTAGTGCTAATTGGTAGTTTGTATTCATACGTTTCGACTGAAAAATGTAAACTTACAACGATTATTTAAAAGAGCAACACACAAGTTTCTTGCTCATTCACCTTGTGATGAGAAAGCTTTCCGAATGAGCGTTAGATTAAAAAAATTGTGATGACTATTCAAATGTTCTTAAAGTAAGTTTATTTGAATAAATGATTTTCTTTTCTATTCTATTCTAATACAACTGCAACATAGCTTACGAATCTAGCCGTCTGGCGGCTTTTAGTATTTAGTCAATAAATAAATAAATAACCCTGAACAACTAAGATAGCGCCATGACAACAACTAGACAACTGATATAAATACTTAGATTAAAAAAATATATAAATACATTATATACCTAGAAATCACCTAGATCGATACAAACAACCATATTCATGAATACAAATGTTCACACTATGCGGAGAATCGAACTCGCGTCCATCGGAAGTAAACCGGTGTACTAAACCGCTAGACCAACGAGGCCGTTAAATCAATGACAATATAAAGAAGAATTGACTTACTTCCACACAAGTATGACACCAACGAAGATGCCGAGCACCAGGACGATAGAACACAATGCGATGACTGCCGATGTCTGCAGCGACGGCCCGCTGTGGTTGTATGCGTCTATCTTCTGAAATAAGGAAAAAAATGGTTACATACACACACATTACAATAAAATATATCATTTATATTGGAGCACTATCTTTACATATTATAAAATGGAAGTCACTTCCGCTGTGAGTTTGCTTAGACATTTTAAACTACTCAACGGATTGTAATGGAGGTTTTAGTAGTAGAGAGTAGTAGATCAAGAGAAAGGAAGCTTGCAGCTCACTTGATAGTAAATGATTACTACCGCCCATGAGCACCCGCAATACCATGGAAATTGCTTCTTATAAAACCTTTTTATAAGAAGGAATAATCTTGTTTCATGAAGTTCGGTGGTTTCCAAGGATTACTACGTGGAAGTTATCCTTACATAGTAAATCATCAAATATCATTTCCCACTGGCGCCGGATAGCATTAGCATATGTGTGAGTACCACATCTTTATCTAGTTGACCTGCGCAACAATTTTGCAACAATTTCTATTGCATCTCTGCTCCTATTGGTCGTAGTATAATGTTATGTAGCTTAAAGCCTACCTCGACAAATGAACAATCCAGCACAAAAATTGAATGAGAATAGCGCGTTCAAACAAACAAACTCTTCAGATTTTAAATATACAAATGGCCTATTAATTCGTGCAAGTAAAGTCGCGGCATATGGTGAGTGCATTAATAAAACTAAGTGTATCAATGATGAGAATAGTCCAATACTATTCTTTGGATGAAAGCCAAAGATCAGACATTGAGAACAATCCCTAATTTGTCTATGTAACAAATAACGAAACTATGCCAAAAATGTCGGCCATTTGGCCAGTGTCGGGAATATTGTGCGCCATTATTCAAGATATGTGCGGAATTCAATTACGGAAATGTAAAAACTGCAACTCTATGCTTAGTATTATTAAAATAATGATATGATAATGATAATAATGATGATATGTTAATGATAATAATAATAATGATATTAAAATAATGATGTACCGTTTATTCAAGAAGTTTCTTGTCAGTTCTTTTCAATTGAACCTGTAAACTGTAGTAGACAGTAGCGAAAAAAATTATTTACAAAAATTTGAGGTTATAAGCCGCTAAAATCCTCTATGTGAATAAATGATTTGAATTTATATCGAATTATAAAATGAGCACAGATCAGAATACACATTTAGAAGAAGGACAGAGTAGGTTGATCGCAGATGGCGCTAGTGTTTATTAAACATAATTGTAATTATACATATAAATGACAGTAAAAACAAATTACAAGGAAATATAAAGAAATAACATAAAATTTTTGTCATTGTTATATACATAATAAACATAGTAAACACCCCGAACAATATTGTTTATATTGATCGGGGTGTTTACTATATCAAGTAAGCGAGGAATCAAAATTGGGATCATAGGAAGTAAATCGGTTTGCTAAATTCAAATTAACAAATTCAAAATATTTTTTCCATGTAGGTCTATTACAGACTATTATGGTATGTCAAATCTACCGTCAGTTCGGAATGATTTCCAGATGAGAAGAACTGACCATATAGTTTATATAATAATAATAATCTCAGGACAATTCACACAGCGCCATCTAGACCCAAGTTAAGTTAGCTAAAGCTTGTGTTATGGGTCCTAGACAACTGATACAAATACATAGATATTTTTTTTTTTCGTAAATACATACATATTATACATAGAAAATACCCAGACCGATACAAACAATCCTACTCATGAATACAAATGTTTGTGCCGTGCGAGGAATCGAACCCGCGACCATCGGTCGTAAAGCGGTATGCTAGACCGCTAGACCACCGAGGTCGTCATATATGGTTAGTTCTTCTATGAACATTACTTGATTCCCTCTAATTAATCCAGTGCTAGTTTTCCATAATATTCTAGATGCATTTCCTCTACAATAAAAAAGTTATTAATTTAGTTGAAAGCACTAAACCATACAAATTTTTCCGTGTAATTTGAAACGTAGTTCGCTCATCATTAGCGTAAAAATCTGAATTTAATTCAACGTTTCTGTTCTGTTACTGCATTAATGTACGTTTTATTTCTGTAATTCATGGCGCCGTATTGTTATAATTACATTGTAAATTGTTTGGACAAGGTGTGTTGCAAGGGGATACTCTTTGTGTACTGTAAGCGAGTCGTCCCATAAATAGAATTATAAAAATATTGTATTAAAATTGTCTATTGTTTGTCTATGCGTGCGATGTTAATTTCTACTAATCAGTGTAACGGACGCAACCGTCTGAATCTAGATATAAAAATATTTATGTATTAGTAGACCACAAAACTCACCGGCTCTGGTTAGTTTGGGACTAGATGGAGCTGTTTGAATTGTCCAGAGATGTTATCATTATCATTACACAGTATAACAACAAACAAACAAAGTCGCTGTCGCTGTCGCTATCTGTCAGTTCCTATGTATGCTTAAATCTTTAAAAGTACGCAACGGATTTTGAAGCGGTCTTTTTTAATAGATAGAGTCATTCAAGAGGAAGGTTTATATGTACAATACATGTACACCCGGGCGAAGCCGGGGCGAGTAGATAGTAATACATAAAATTTAGTACGACTACACTGATTATACAGTATATGCAAATACTTAAATAATGTAATTTAAACAGTAGGCATTTGAACAGACTATTGCCCACAAACACTCGTTACATGCTATATTAGCACGTATATAATTGAAAATAACTATGTTACCAACATCATATAATATTCCGTAGTGTGTTCACACTATATATAATTCACGTAATGTAAACATATCATATTGCCATCGCCATCGACGAATTCATCCCCACACACTGGAACCTAAGTGATCGAACATGGTTTCGAGCTTCCTCTCGCGTACACTTAGATTGTGGAATGAACTTCCTGCCGAGGTTTTCCTACGAGACTACAGCATGGGGTTTTACAAGAAGGGTATATTAAGGTTTTTTAAGGGTCGGCAACGCGCACGTGATACCCCTGGTGTTTCAGGCGGGTAACCATTTACCATCAGAATGATTGATTGCCACCATCGTAGTATAAAAAAAAAAAATTCCTATTATCTTATACTGTTTATTTATTTGTGTACATATATTTCATGCAGATAAATGTTCCGATTTTTTAAAACTTTATTCATTAATCAATTAATTCTATTTTATTAATAATATAAACGCCAAAGTTTGTGAGAATGGAAAGATAAATGGATGTTTGTCTTTCACGCAAAAAACTGAATGGATTTTGATCAAACTTTAGAGTAATATAGCTTATACATCAGACTAACACAGGCTATAAATTTCATACCGGTCAGCACAGATATTAATAATATTTTATTTGTTTCCGTGCATGTATTATATTTGTAGTTGATTTTATTTGCGTGATTATGATTACTTGGGATATTCGAAGTGACCATAATCGTTAGTACAATGTCTGGTCGACCTCCTTACGGTCCCTCCTGGATATAATTATCTTTAATTCCTGGTTAATTCGGCATAATGGGTCAACACCTCATGTTCACTGTCATCCATTGATGCCCTGATAAATTAACACCATTCTATTATCTTACTAATATTATAAACGCAAAAGTTTGTGAATATGGATGGATCGAAGTTTGTTACTCTTTCAGCCTAAAAGTAATGAACGGATTTTGATGAAACTTTACAGTAATATAGCTTAAACATCATAATAACTCATAGGCTATAAATTTCACAGCCAGTCGAGTAAAGAATTGTAGGGGTAGAATGCACAGCGGCAGTAAATATAGTGAAATAAGAAAGTAAAATATATATATTTGTAAAAAGTAACAAGGCTCACATACGATATGTCAATAGAAAATCTTACGAACAATAGAAGATATTTTCTTTATACAAAATTCAAATTATCTTCTACCAATAACGGCCAGATATAAATTTAAGTTCCAACACGCCCCTTTAAATTTAAGTCGGTTAAACAGTACAAACATACAACACTTGTCCATCTACGGATACATCAGTTACCATCATTTCAATGAGTACATGTCTCACTTCTATCTTATCGTTGTCCCTTAATACGGCTCTGATCAAGTGATTTTAATATCAACATGTTTACTGCAAGCATGATACACACTAGGTCTTACGCGAAGTAAAGCGCTCCTTAGTTATCGGCATGTAAAGTAAAACGTACGTACATAGATTGTCCGATTTCACCTAATAAAATATTAAGCTTAACAGCTTCTTTCAATCGCCTCAGACAAACTCACACATACTCAGCCTCACACGTCGATTACGCGACAATTCTTTGCTTTTATGACCTTCACCTAATATTTGCACCATCTGAAATAAAAATGTAACTAAAAATGAACGGTTATCCTAATCTACGTCCGAAAAACCCATACACCGACTTACCGGGATTCCTAAAAAACTAGGACTTAATTTCTTTTCATTTATACGGCCACTTCGTTTTAAACTCTACCTCCTATTGTTTATATTTTACCAATTCATTACTTTGTTTTTCAGCATTTATTTCCATCTATCTATATACTGAATTTCTCCAAAATACATAATATATATTTTTGTTATGACAAAACAATGACATTGTCATTTCGTTGCATGTCAATCCCTAGCTCATATTTAGCTACACTAATTCGAACTCCTTTTGACAGTTCACTTTTAATCGTCCCATGCAACAATAATTTCTTCAATATATATTAAAACAAAATAAATAAACAAACATTTTGCCACCTTTTTAAAATATAAACATGGTTCATTTAAACTTTGTTTTTATTCCATACTTCTTAACTATCGCTATCTTTCTCTCATCTTTCTCTTTATTTCGAAAAACAACTTCTCGAGATAACTGAGCCTCCCCTACAAAATCTTTGCCAGATTCATCAACATTCATCATCGTTGACTGCTGCTGCTGTTCCAGTGCTACCGTTCCATTAATCTTTCGCGGTCGCCCTGTTTTACCAGTTCGCAGTAGCTTCGGTTGACTAGGAGCTCGTTTTAGTACAGAAACACTACTGACGGTTCCTTCCATCTCAGGTCTCGATTCAT